GGTGAACCCATATTGCTTTTTCTGATGTTTCTTCTTCTCCTCCTCCTCCTCCTTCTCCTGCCATTTTTTAAATGGATTCAGCTTCTTCATTTTAGGGCCCAAGGTCCTGAAATTTGGTATGGAGGTACAGTGGGCAAATACCCCTAGGCATTTTTTAAATTATTGTGATACAGGCTTTTAGAATGGTTTTATTTGAGTTTTTTGGCTGTGTTATAGCAAATGTATTACTGTGTTAGTGTGCCTTGCTTACCACGTTTGGGCATAAGTCATCACAATGGAATGCAGGGCATCAACCAATAGGCATGCTAGCTTTCCTCTATACTTCTTGCTGATTGGCTGTTGGGATTTAACTTGATTAACACCCGCACAGAGCATTTCCACCTGCACAGAGCATTTCTTGCTGATTGGCTGTTGGGATTTAACTTGATTAACACCTGCACAGAGCATTTCCATACTGACAGTATGTCTGTATTCAAGTGTTTTGGTAGGTATTTCAAGCTTTCCTGCTCCAGCATTGGAATGCGGGGCATGGACGTTTTTTTTTTATTTAGAAAATCAACAGTTTGCATTATGCAATTAAAAATCCTAACCAATAAAGTAGGGAATAGCTATCCAACTGTTGTTTTAGTTGTATTTTACTTCATATTATAGTTATATCAATGTAAATCATTGTTTTCCCTTGTGTTTCTCATTCTTTCCCTGCCATGTCGTAAAATGTGGTGAACCCATCGCTGTATTTGCTCCAAAGCAAATATTGGCCTTTCTAGTTTTTGGTGTGTTTTTATTGTGTTTTCCCAATGCCAACCCAACAAATGCCCAATAATTGCCTGTCAAGTGAATTCTGCTTGGCCAATTTGATACTGTCTTTGCAGCCATCAAAAGGTCTGCTTGGAGATAATGATTTGGAACTTCAGTGAATGTCATCCATTCCCTGTAATTATGGTTATAATTATGTGATTATGGGGGTCTGGCCCATGGACTAGTTATGCAGTACAAGTTCTCTGTGATTTGTTTTCTTTTGCATAACATTTTGTCTTGTTTATCTCGTTACAATGTGTCTTTATTTCCATGTACAGGGCCGAGGGTGTTGAGAGTTAGTCAAGGGAGATGAACTGCCTGACCCACATTGGGTTTCCCGTTGCCACGGAAACAACCCGTTGCCATGGCAACAAACCTGTGCACAACATCGTGCGGTGCTACTAATCATGTCCTCCAGTTCACCTTGGGAAAAAAAACTACTATCGAGCAGAAGAACTCTCAAACCAGGCGCCCGTACCGTGGACCACACACACGGAGAGAGGCAAACACACGCTAAAGGCTTCCACAGAGCACAGTTCAAAAAAGTTTAGAACGACGTAGATGTAAAAAATGGAAGTGGAATGCGGAAAACAAGGGGTTACTCGTACTACTAGAACGTGAAGACTCGCGCGTTGAGCAAGGCTCTTCTAGACAATAGCAAAAATCATGTAGTGAATTTAGAGTGACGAAAGGGCACTACTATTAGTTCTCCAGCATTCCCCGGGATACGATCGAGGTTTTAGGCGAGTTCTGTCAGTAGCGCTATGCATTTTTACGACTTACTCACTCGTTCACACGAACATAAGTATTAGGCAACTATTTCTCAGAGAGGTCGGCAAGCAATACACTGTTGGAGCAGTATTAAGACCTTTTTTTAAGCTATGTTTTTTATTCTTAACAGAGAAGAGTTGTATTTAGAGTTCTTTGTTGCTATTTTTCTGAATATTTTGTCAGAGGAAACACTATGAAATGTGCAAGGACGTTTTATGGAATAATGATTTGATGAATTGGAAGTTTTTAAAGGCAATGAATTGAGCTGTAGTTTGATTATTAGTGGCAGACGGTTTTCTGTTCCTTGGGATGAGGTTTCGCCATATTTCGGAACAGTGAAATGAGAACTGTAGAAGGCAATGAACTTAAGGATTAAAATTGAACACGTTTCAATCACCTGTGTGTTCTTGTGATTGTGTCTCTTCCCTGACAAAAACATTTAGATATTGTCAGCTGAGCCTATTATTTATACAGAAGTTAGAAATACATGTATAAGTTAAGGCTAATGAAGACCAAATACTTCGCAATCATAAAACTTGCGCAGTCAGCACGTAACATGCTAAAAACTTTTATGCATACCTACACTGGTACCAGCTCAGTATTTCTAGCTGTATGGAACTCATGAAAGGTAAAATACCTCAAGTTTATTATTCCATCTCTAATAGATGATGAAATGACGAAATCACTTATTAATTAGTTTCCCCACATCAATCTTTTATGATTCTTTCATTCAGCTTTGGTTTCTTGATGCTATGAGGATAAAGCAAAACAGAAATAGTACAAACTTATCTAACCCACAGTTTGAAACAGCTCACTGCTCAGCATCATGTATTCATAAAACCATTCATATACAATCTCCTTTCTTATCTTGAAACTTCATCTGCGTTGGTAGAAGTCATTATTTTATACAAGTTTTAAGCTGTTATTTCAAACACTAGAAACTTGACTTGCAAAAATTTGGGTGAGTCCAACTTCTTGTGTTTAGAAGAATTACAGTTTAAACTTGTTTCATATTCTCCTTTCCTGCCTCTATATCCATAGACTGAACCTTCTGTCACATCTTTGATTTAGTCCTTCTCACAATCATTTCCAATACCTCCTCGCTAAAATAAAGAGTTTAAACTTAAAAGTGATGGCAACACCTGCATTGAAGTGGCATTGTTCTGTTGAACAAATCAATTCACAAACTATATATAATTCCATGCACAATATCACTGTATATACATGAAAGTCCTCCCTATACTAAAGTCCTTCCCATTTTCTAACATTACAGGATTGGTAGAGGTTGCTCTTTGTAAGACAATATTTGGTGAAAGACCTGAGTATGAATCTAACATCTAGTTTTAAGTACAGTACTGTGCATTTCCATGTCTTGAAGCCAGTTCCCAGCAAAATTTAAACCATTATTTGGTTTCAATAGGCACACATTTTTCTCTAAAAAATTCTACTAGAGGTCCTGTTGAAAATACATGTAAACACAGATTGTGCACTCTGACATTTATACAATCTCATCTTGGTACACAACTTCATCTGGCTGCACTAGTCAACTCAAGCTTCATATCTGTTCTGAATTCCAGCAGCAGACAATACAACCTATGTACAATTCTGTTTTTCATGTTTCTTATCTTCATCTTTGGACAACATACAAAGATGACAGATGAAACAAAACATACAGTATGGCTATGGCGTTGACACAGTTAAATATGATATCCAAAGAAAATTGTCACTTCCTACTTTCAACTACTTTCCCATTGGATAAGTTATGATCATGTGACCTAGCGGTGGCCTCCTATTGGTTTAGAAGCCGAGCGGATGGTCCTGTACCACCTGGTTTTTCTGCACTACCTCCTCAGCGATATCTCTCATCAGCTGGAAGTCAGCCTTGCCTGACGTGGCTGTAGCCAGGTTTGATGTTACTCTCTCTGAAGCCTGCAACACCAAGAATTATGCTTTTACTAGTTTTAGATCCACATTTCAACCTGCTACAAAGGACTTAGGGCTAAAACAAATACATGTACATGTACATATTTAAATTTGAAGGCTACAGTGGTCATTGAAAATTTTATCATTGTGTACCCTTTTATTGGAATGAAGTTCAGCATTTTACTACATGTATTTGAAGTTTAGCAAGACTCCTGACATCTGAAAAGTATGCAATCCACGCCTTCTTAAATTCCCCCATGTCTACCGCTAGCTCCTAGTCAGATTCTGAGACTTTCATGTTCACCCCACTTGCTGAGTCTAACCTTTTCTGGAAGATTTCAAAGTGAACGTTTAATAAAAATTAAAATACAAAATGTACCTCATTGCAGAAGACAGTGCAGATCATCTTCTCGTAGTCAGCTGACTTGTCTCCTCTCTGGATGGAGCGAGAAGCCCTGTAGGAGGAAAAGTTAATGTTTTATTCTTCTCATTACAAAGAAATACACTGCATATACATGTATATTGTTACAGGTATCACAAAACTGACCAACTTTCCAACTGGAAACAAGACATCAGAGAATTCACACTTCTGGGAAATATGCAATCCTCAGAATGTTTCCTGAATTCCCCCATGTCAACCTTAACCTATTCTCAAGTTCAGCCCCATTTCCTGTGTCTGACCTTTTGACCTGTCATTCCACCTGTCAATCTTCCCCCTGTTAACTCCTTCCTCTATCCAGGAAATAGACACACAAAACCCAACACAGAACCTACTCTGTCCAGACAAACAGAAACACAAACCCACAGCTCAGCCACCCAAAATACTTCCAAGTGACAAGACTTCAAGAAAAGGAGACAGGGAAGAAGTGTAACTATATGTTTACCTGGACAACACAGCCACCATGCCATAGATGTCAATAGCTGCATCAGCAATTCTCTTCAGTAGGAACTGTTGCACTGTGGAGGAAAGGTAAGGAATGCACGTGTGTATACAAAACTTGTAACAGACTATACAAGCAACCATACATGTATATGCAAAGCGAATCTTTTAGTCTTAATTTGCATTGCAGCATGTTTGACGTCCAACTTCTCCACTAACTCACACAACTTCACCGTCCAAATTCCTTGTTCAAAATCTTTTTACAGTAACAGTTTCTTTCCCAGTACGGCCAAGCTTTGGAATTCCCTCCCTGACAAGTGTTTCCCACCAACCTACAATCTACAGGCTTTCAAATCAAACGTTCACCGCCATCTCTTGACATACATGTAGCCATGTTTCTCTCATATTTCTAGTTCAATGCCGAGAAGTAGTCCCATAGGCCTTGCATTGAACTACTCCGTTAAAAACAACAAAAAGAAAAAAACTGAAGTGCCACTCATGAGGTATAAAAAAAGGAAGTTCCACTGCATCACCATAATAAGCCACAAGGTGGCCCAAAATCTTATCACATGGTTTGTATATAGATCAAATCTTCTAACTATGCATGATTTTACCAGCTTGATTTTATATCTTGCACTACTTTCTTATCACAGTTATCCATGGACATTAATACTGTATAAGCTGCTGGATTGAGACACAAATCAGCCAACTTACAGACGATTTTCTTGCCGTGTTTCACGAGCACGTCCTCCACAGTCCCCCCAAACTGGTCGATGGCCTTGGAGACCTGTGTGGCCTGGGAGGAGAGGGAAGGGTCCACGTACTGCTGCAGGGACGGGCCCGAGCTCAGACCCAGCTTTCTGTGTACAGAAAAAAGTCATCACTGAATGATTTCATCAAACTCAAAATTTTCATTCTGACTGACGGTCATGTTTCTGCAAGGATGTGTGTCGGAGAGTCTTGGTGAATTGGGCAGGATAAAAAGTTGTTAAGTCAAGGTGGCAAGGTGGTCTTGTGGTTTAATAGGGTTGCTGAATTCAAGGGTCAACGTACTGTTATAGGGACGGGCGGGAGCTCAGACCTATAGCTTCCTGTGTAGGGGAAAATGTTGCCACTTCATTTGCCTAGGACTACACTATGATCAAAAGCTAAATTTTCCTTCTGACTGACAGTTATTTTCTGTAAGAATATGTGTCAAAAAAGGGTAGGTCAGTCTTCTCAAAACAGGATGAAATGTAGTGTCAGGGTGGTCTTGTGGCTAGGATTGTTGATTTTGAATTTGGTGGTTTTGGGTTCAAATCCCGAGCAGTACAAGAAAGAAAGTTTAAGCTTTGATGATGTTACAGACCAACATACAATGTATCATAATATGTTCAATAAACCACACTATCTGGGTCCTATAAATCAGGGAAAAAATCCAGCTTGTTTTTGTGACAGAATGTCCCATGACAGTCGCTGGTATATTTCTCATTTTTTGTGGACTCTTCTACATAATAATAATAAACAATATAGAATGTTTTTCCCCACCTCTTGATACGTTTGCTTGCTGCTGCTGAGATGACTCCCATGTTGCTCAGAGGGCTCTTCAGGGCTCGCTGCAACTCCTGAAGATTCTTCCCAGCAAACTGGACAGACAGGATAATAAAGGTGTTTTCATTGGTGTTTCAAAGCTCGTCTGGTTTCATTCGTAAGTCTTGAATCTCTTTTGACAGCATTATATCTTCCTACAAAAATGCCAAATGCCATTAAATATGATAATTATTATACTTTTACTTTGGCCAAGTAAAGCTTACCTGGATACCCGTGAGGGCAACAAAAAGTCGCAGAATATCATTGGTTCCTTCGAAGATACGGAAGATTCGCAGGTCCCTCATTACCCGCTCCACTCCGCAGTCCTGGGGGGTGACAAAATGGAATAAAAGGAAAATTCAACAATCAAATCATGATGAACAGACCAGACGCCTACAGAGATAACATAGTCATGACTAAATGGGTGTCATTGGTCCTTTTCCATTACATCTTTTAAAAGATCACAAAGGACACAGAAAGACAGATATGTGATACAGAAGTGTATTGTTTGAGCCTTTTGTTTATTCTCAAATTTGCTGGTGGTTTTTCATTGAAGTCATGATGGAAGAGGTCAAGGTCAGACAAAGTACAAAAATATGATACAGGTTACATAATCCAAGTCCTAACAAATCCAGAAACATTAAGTCGCAACACATTCAAGTAAATCCATAGACATATGTCGTGCACTAATACCTACCGTTGATTCTACAATTGCAAACTAACACTACTTATAGCACTAAATACTACAACCAGTACTGCTACTATTCAAGATTCAAAAACTGGATACTACTATGGTATTACAAAAGCAGATATGACAAAATGAATGTTAGCATATGGTCCAAGTCCATTCATTTGGGTCATTTCAGTTATTGACCAACTCACCCTCATGTACCCCATCCCTCCCAGGATCTGTATGGCCTCGTCTGTGGCGAACCAGGCAGCCTCTGACCCGTAGATCTTACTGATGGCAGCCTCGATCTGGAAGTCCTTCGACCCCTGGTCCATGTTAGCGGAGATCATGTAAGCCATGGACTGGGGGGGGGGGAGAGTTAGAACATTAAAAAAGAAATCAAAGATTTTTGTTTAGGAAGTATGCAATCCTTGTACAAGTGGGGTCGTGTGGCGTAGCGGCAGAGTACTCGACTCGGAATCAAGGGGTCCTTGGATCAAGTCCTGACATGCCACCGATCTTGTGCCCTTGGGAAAGGCACTTTACACGACTTTCCTCACTTTGCACTAAGTATTGTATTGTCCCCTGTGTTGGTGGTGGCATTAATATAAGTTGAAAAAAACTTGAGTGTGCTGTCACCACGTCTTGTGATTAGATGTTGGGATATTAAAAAAATTTTTTTTAATCCTTGCACAAAGAAATTGTTACTCAAGCTTTAAGCAACTGGACAGATTTTGAAAACTGTCAGACGTTTCAAGTAGCATCCACTACTTTTCGTTAGTCACTGACGAAAAGTATGGGTGCTACTTGAGTTGAAACTTCTGATAGTTTCCAAAATCTGTCCAGTTGCTTGAGTAACAATTTCGCTGTGTATCTCACTACCTGGATGTCTAACGTTCATCGACTTATGCAATCCTTGGCTTCCTGAATTCCCCCATGTTCACCACTAAATCCTGCTGGCGTCCTGCGAGATTCTGACACCTTTACGTTCACCCCATTGCCTGTGTCTGACATTTTGACCTGCCATTTAACTGTAGCCTCTACCAGTGGAGTTGGTTCACACTAAGAGAACGATTTGACACTCCCACAAACTGTTCTCTTCATGCAGATCAACTCCCATGGCACATTTGTCTACTTGGCCAATTCCTATTCTTTCCAGCTGCTTCCCAAAGCCTGGAAGAAGCTAATTTAGCATGTCAATCTTCCCACTCCAACACATGTGCTGTCAACCACAGGTAGACAAGATAGACTGACAGTTACAGTTAAAAATGACAAGGCGGAAGGGTTGGGAGTCGATGTTTGGGCGTCTCAGCGAGGGACTTATGTTGTAACGTTACTGCATTGCAGTCCACCCACCTCTGTTACATACTGCACCATGGCCATCCTGGCTAACTTCTCCTGGATGGCGCCAAAGTTGTGAATCTTCTCTCCAAACTGTGTACGTGCTGCTGCGTGATCAGACTAGAGGGAATAGAGGGGAAAATGTTTAAGGTGTTATAAGGTCCGCACTTGGGATACCAAGGATCAGTCGAACACATCAGATCTCGATGCTGATGCTGTATTATGCTGATGCTGTATTTCCAGCAGCTTATCACAAGGGCCAAACGTAACTGCTTCAAGGCACTCTCCTGACCCTGACTGGGCCCTACCATTAGCTACTAGTGTGAGGGAGGAATGGGATTGTCCCACTTCAACCTAACCTAACCAAACCTCACCTAGCCCAACCTATATAACTAAACACAAGGTATGTCACATGAAAGACAGCTTTGTAGATGACCATTGATATTGGACTTCAAAAATCAAAGTTAACATTGTCAAGTAAAATTACAGTATATATAGTAAGTATACACTTACAGCCTTCTTGATAACCCCCTTCATAGTCCCAGACAGCGCGGCCGCCATGCCGAACCTGCCGTTGTTGAGGATGTGCATGGCGATCTTAAACCCACCGCCGACCTCCCCCAGAACGTTCTCCAGAGGAACCTTCACATCCTCAAAGTAAACCTCCGCCGTGTTGGAGGCCTTGATACCCATCTTCTTCTCTGGAGGTCCACTGGGGAGGTAGAGAAATTTCATCATTCAGATTAGTGCTGCATACCGGTTCACTGGACTTGGATCCGGACTTGGAAGAATGTTTAGGTTCAAGTCCAAAAAAACCTATAAGTCAAGACCCAAGTCCGGACTTACATTGTATTACCATAAAAGACCATTTCACATACCCCTTTTCTTTCCAAACCACCTAAAACCTTCTGTAGATTGCAAAATCTTTGCTGCAAAATGAAGAAAACATTGCCATCGGGCATTGTCAAGTACCAGCCTCCATGTTAGTTATGTGGCCAAAGTTTCACCCAGACAACATTGCAAGGTTGCCAATATGCAATTTGTATATGCCATGGGTTTAACTCTGGACTTACAAGTCCGGGACTGAACCTGAACCTCTGGACTTGAATCCAGACCTGAACCTAATTGTGGGTTTAGGTATGCAGCACTAATTCAGATGCAGCATTTGTTATGTACCTTGTGTTACATATGCTAACATATTGTTTAGTAAAGATGCCCGAATAAAAAAAAAGCAGTAGCTATTAAATAACCTATCAGATAGCCAAATTAGTCAATGTAATCTTTGTTTATCGAACTATAAGTTTCTGTCAATAGTTCTACAAATGCCTCTATTAATTAAGTTTGTGAGAAGACTATACATAAATTAAAAGAAGACTAATTGGCAAAGTACAATGATTCTCTTTGATGGCAAAACAGTTAGGTAAGTTAAAAGCGTTACAATGTAATGGCAACTGTTTGGTATCAGATTTCTTCCTTACTTTGTGACACCTCCAAACGACCTTTCCACAATGAACGCTGTGACCTTGTCCTTGGTGCCACCCTTCCCATCAGGCACTGGGGTCTGCAAATACAACAACATGGTTGCCAGTCATGAATTTAAAATTCAAAATGTTCCTTACAAGAATACTGTATCTTCTTTTGTCATTTTCACACTTTTTTCTTTCAGCAGGCCTAGCAAAAGACAATGGAAGTGATTGTGAAACCAATTTTTACCTGTGCAAAAACTGTGAAGATCTCAGCTAGCCCACCATTGCTGATCCTGGGTGATAAAAGAAACAGAAACAAACATGAATACATGTATGTTAAATTTGCTGATGAAGGTAAGACATCTACGCACTGCAAGTCAGATCTGTTCACTAAAAATTCCTTACGTAGATAAAACAACGAGCTATAATACTTTTGTGAAGTCCTTAATGTACATGTACATTTAACTCACCAGATCTTGCCTCCATTCAAAATAAAATGCTTTCCGTCATCACTCAACACTGCTCTTGTCTTGATAGACTGAAAAAGAAGATACAAAATAATAAAGCATTGGGGAGTGAGAAAATAGGTATAAAGTACATTTCCCAAGGACACAGCAGTGAGGCCTGCCAGGAATTCAAACCCAGAACCTTCAGATTCTAAGTCAACAGCTTTAGCAACAAGACCACCTTGCCACCTCTGTAACAGTCTATTGTCTCTCTTGGCTTGGCTTCGTACAACTTACGAAATCAGTAAAAATGTGAAGCCCAGACTTACGCTGGCATCTGACCCGCTGGCTGGCTCGGTTAAACAGAAAGCGGCGACCGTCTCTCCCGTAGCCAGCTTGGGCAGGTACTTGGCCTTTTGCTCAGCGTTCCCGGCGATGAGGATTCCCTTAAACCCGATGGACTGATGCGCTCCAAGTGTGATCCCCACACCCAGGTCATACTCTCCTACTATCTCCACTAGACGGGCATACTGGGGATACAGACAGGACAAAATTTCTTTAATAATATTATGATATACTGAACCTTTATGTCATACCTGGGCCGCGATTACGTTCGATACGGGTGTTCCAGCCTGTGTGATAACTAGTGGTATGGCCCAGGGGTTCTCAACGCGTATGGCCCGGGGCTTCCAAATGTTCCATAGAATAATTCAAACGCGTTTCGCCCCCCTCCGCGTGCACTGCTTTTGAAAATTTGAATACAGTAGGCAGTACGTGTCAATATTATGAAGGTTGCCTTATTCAGAATATTTTCAGTTTTGCTGCACTGAAATCGCACTGAATGTCTTTCAGATGAAATGGTAGGTTATTCCTACCTGTGTGTTAGATAGGCCAAGGCCCCCTAGGTCCTGTGGCACCTGCAGACCAAAGGCCCCCATCTCCTTCAGCCCCTGCATAGTCGGGTCATCCACCTTCTCTATCATGTCATTCTTGGAAGCATCGTTTTGTTCCTGAACACGGAGAAGAGGAAAAGGTGAACAGAAGTGCTTCTAATAATAATATAAGCAATAATCCCAGCAATTTGGCTAAACAGAAGGGAAGAGGTGTAACAATTTTTGGGAGCAAATTTGAGAAATCAGAGGTTTATTATGCAAAGTTGTCAAACTGTAAGTTACAGAGATTACTTTTTTCATACATTGTACATACATACACACTACACATTCTCTCTACATACACATTCTCTCTACATACACACTACACATTCTCTCTACATACACATTCTCTCTACATACACACTACACATTCTCTCTACATACACATTCTCTCTACATACACACTACACATTCTCTCTACATACACACTACACATTCTCTCTACATACACACTACACATTCTCTCTACATACACACTACACATTCTTTCTACATACACATTCTCTCTACATACACACTACACATTCTCTCTACATACACATTCTCTCTACATACACACTACACATTCTCTCTACATACACACTACACATTCTCTCTACATACACACTACACCTTCTCTCTATGGTTCTCTCATTACATCCACTGGTTCTTAATCATATCTAATTTTGTTAGAGCTGGTGTGTTACGCCGAAGGGCGATTATACCGGCTATACAGATACAGAGATCTTGTAATACTGCATATGTATTTACCTCAAAGAACTTGTCGACAGGGTCGACCAACATCTGTAGAAATTCTTTCTGCTCTTCATTCAGCACTGTAGAACAGATAATTAGAATAGTGTACAGTACTGCAGCTGGCTGTTTTGTGTAATAACAAAATCAATAAGCAAAATATATGATATAGATGTACATGTATAATTTATGATTGTATGTATGTATGGGTCAGTAGCAAGGTCTAATGCAGTCCAACGAAGTTGAATCATATTTTCCACAATCTTCAGTTCAGTTCATCCTAATCAGGTGACACAATCTTACCTTCAGGAAAAGGGAAGACCTGTTCTGGTGCCACCTGCCCCATGAACATGCCAAACCCAAATGACTTCGTCCCCTGAAAAAGGCAAGAAAGTACATGTGTACAACATGCATACAAGGTTTTCGTCGTTTCAAAGTTAACCTTCAGCGTGGTAAGGTTTGCCAAAGGTAAGCCGTTTGGGACTAAATCTGCAAAATTGGTTATAGAGTTAGGCAGAAGGGAAAAGGTTGATTCAATCTAAATGATTGAGTAACAAGTCAAGGAGTTTTACACATGTATGTCGTTGTAGCTGTAACCTACCGCAGCTGGGGCAGCTTCCACCTCAGCTTCCACCTTCTCCTGGACAACCTTTGGTTCTGTAGGCTTTTCTGGCTCAGGTTCAACATCTTTTACCTGGAAAAGTCACAGAATAAAGTTACAAACAAGACTGGCAATGAAAACATACACTGCCATGGCGACGGTGGTTGTTGTTAGGGTTATTGTTTGCATGGCACTACCATCATTTCGTGATTTTGAGGAAGACTTGGTTCTGTTAAGTCTAGACAGATACAGTGCACTCCTCCCCTGAGTGTATAGTGAATGAGCCCCAGGGTCACAGAAAGTAGGGCCATCCGGGGCAGACAGGTCTTCCCAATGGTTTCCAGGAATGTGGGCATAGATGTGGCTCAGAGAAATGCCTGTGGACATTCCATGCTTGTGGACAAAATGCCTGTACAATTCCTAGAATTCTTGCAAACTGCACACAATACTGTACCTTTAGGCTCTCCCCTGAGGTGTCGCCAAAAAGTCCTCACACTCAATGGACAAAACATTCTGTACATGAGCATATAGCATGCTACATTGTGCTTTTAATCAATAGAGCTAGAAAAAATTGTACCAGGGTAATACAAGTCAGTTTTAAAGGTGTTATGAGTTACAATCATGAAGTAATTTTACAGGAAAGAAATGGACACCTGTGTCTTTGCTGCAGTGGAGGCATAGTGTTGCTGGTTCAGCCGTACCACACTGGCTAGTGATGGCCTGGAGAGAGACACAGTTCTGTGTTATAAATGTAATGTCTTGTTTTAAAATCATCTCTTGACATATTTTTTTAAGGGTTATAATCTAATCTTAAAGTTGTGTTTGGGTCTTTGAGTTAAACACTTTGAAAGTGTCAACTGCAATGCATTATGCACATGATACACATATGCAAATTTGAGTAACATTTTGATTAAAAGTTGAAGGGAATCACACACATTAATGGGTACACTTAATATAACCATGGAGGTAAAAAAAGAGAACACTCTTTTTTTACCTCCATGATATAACTCAGAATCCTTAATCCCCCCCCCCTTCGGCATTGTGCTGGGGTGTCAGCTTGAACAATTTCAAGGGCTTTTTAAGGGCGTATTTCGGTGTTCTCTATGGTTACATAATTTAGCTCTAGGAATATTGCGTTACATGTAAATATTTTCCCACCCCACCCGACTACTAGATCTACAAAATTAAATACGCACCTGTAACGTTATACTTTAGTACTAGTAACTACGCAATCATTCAGTAGCTAACGTTATCTCAGATAACGTTATATGTGCAACACACACAGTTCTACGATCCAGACGATAAAGAGAGCGAAGTCCGTAGTCTAAAGTCCGAAAACGTGCACAGAAACACGGCGTTATGTTTGAACACTTGGGCTGGCTTTAATTTGCAACCGGGCCCTATGAGATCTTTACTTTAGTTCCTAAATCGCAGCCAAGGACGTTGCCTTCTTTCGAAGAAAAGGAAGAAAGATACAGCCACAAGAATGATGTTTCCGTACCTGACCCCTTCCTTGAGGCTGTACACGGCGACTGAACGCTGTAAGAGCGCTAGTTTCAGGGCAGATCGCAGCATTTTGATGGATAATCTTCACTGTTTGGTCGTCCTCCCTGACCTACACACAGGTTATTACGTCACTTCGTAAGGCAAAGGTTACAAAACGTCACAATTGGTAACGTCATATCCGCTTTGAGAAATGACTTCCGGCATGTGTGACCGCGCCCGTCGTGACGTCATGTAATATCCAAGCAGATGTTTGGAGGGAAGATCGTACCGTTTTCTAGCAATCAAACGGGAAAGACGATCTTTTCCCTCTGAGGTATCTGTTTGAGAGAAATGGCTTCTTCTTTTTTGAACCCCACGAAATTTTCCTGAATGTTCTTAGGACGAGATAAATTTCTAGGCAGAATAATATTTATACATGGTTATAGTATATGAGATGCGCGCGCGCGCGCGCGTGTGTGTGCGTGCGATCAACCATAAGTAATACATGCATGACAATATGAGTACTTCTCAATACAAATCGCCACAAATACTTGAATACCTTTGTGTACTAGTATCATTTTTGCCTAACTTCCGAAGACCTGCAGTGATTACACGTCACCGCATGAGGTCGTTGCTGCAACAAGGCATTGCGCAACTACTACGCAATGCCCTTGGTGCGTTCGTAAATGGTTTGGAATAACGTTACCTGTTTAAATTTAAAACTTTTGGTCCAACACAAAAAAGCTCTAGGTGAAAGAATTTTTTGTTGGACCAAAAATTTTAACTTTAAACATGTAACTACCAACACAGATGAACTTTCATGATAGAATAACGTTAGTTCTTCACATCAGAAATCACAGAAACTAAACACGTTTTGATTTTTCAGACTTCCTCTGGAGTCTGTCGGTTCGTATGTTTCTAAAAAGTGGTGAAAGTTCATATCTGCGTTTACTTGTAGCAATTTTCTGTAGTTGCCTCCCCTTGACTCACTGTAGCACTGTAGCCCGCTAATACTAGTATTCAAACGCAAACAGAAATACAAAGCCTTTGACACGGAATACGCCTACAACCGCTCAGAGTAGAATGGAGCAAAAAATCGCCTTGGCCAGACAGCATAATTTTCAAATTTCATTTATGTTTGAAGGTAGCTCCTCTAGGTTCTTTACTTTATTGACATTTTAATAGCTGTTACAAGTGGTACTTTTTTAATGAGCCCATCTCCCCAAGGAGGGTGCCTATCATATTAAAAAGACACGCTGCAAGAGTTAATTGTTTGTTTATGCTAGCAATATGAGAGCACTTGTAATCAATTACATGTAATTACTGAAAGCAGGCGGCGAAGCGTAACGCTTTTCTTGTAAACAGGTGTAATACATTGCTAGAGCCAAAATAGCTGCGTAGCTGATGTTCAGGTTCAGTATATCTTTTGCAATAAAGATTTGTGCAGTTAAGAAGAAATATAACAATATTTGAAAGTCCTTTCTTCATTTCGTTGGTTTCTGAAGTAATGAAAAAAAAATCGGGCGAAAAGTCCGCTTCACAGAAAATAAACATTTTATCAACCCAAGTTATTGTGTGGCATGTTAGCCCCACATTTTAGTTTCCTAGGCACTCAAGCAACCAGATTAAGTCCTTTTTATAAGTATGAGAAAATTGTGAAAGTGAATCGTGAATAGGAACCGTACAAGTTTAAGCGGAGGGGGATTTTTAAAAATACAATCGGAGCAAAATTTAGAAGATGACAGGTTCGCGGAAATCCCCCCGCATAGCCCAGGATTTCCCACTACGCTTTGCGCGCCACATGTTCGCCATTTTGTTTTCAAGAACAACTGTCTACGTCTTTGGGCGAGTTTTTCAGCAGGAAATTCAACCTTGTTCTGGTCAGAATTTCAACTGGAAAGGATTGTAGGCCAACATGATGTGGTATACAGGTAAGGTAAAGTCCCTTTCTTCACAGAAGACGATATTTTGGTGTTGAAAACGGCAATTTCGCTGGCCACTTCTGGCTTTTGAAAGGTACGAAGGGGTCCTGGGTTGTGCAGTATCACTCACTCGGGCTCGTGCCGTGTAACCAGGCAGATTTCGCCCGATATTTCAGTTGCCCTTCGAGGTTCTGTCCGCCTTTCGTCACCCTGTACGTGGATGGTGTATTCTCTAAAGATGTGTGTTGTTCGGGAGTGTTGATTTGGTACAGTAGGCCACGTAGACGGTCTGGAAACAGGAGACAGGCGGGCGGTACGGCCTGCATGTCGGGGGCGGCCGATTGAATGAAAACAGCGAGTGCAGTCCTGTATCTGCGAGTTTCCTGGCCGTTCTACCTCTCAATTTTCCACCACAAATTTGCCCCCTTGTCAATTCTCAATTACATCGGCGCTCTTCTACATATGGCGCCCCGATTTATTTAAAAAGTTGGCTGTTTTAGAGTGTTGAAAGTGGCGAACAAGCGACAGGCATACGTAGCACGACCCCTCCGAAAATGAATGAAAACGTTTCAGCCCTGGTTTGTGTGTGTTTTGTTGGGGACAACTACGTTCTTACTGTGCTGCAGGCATTGTTTATCTGCTGATCTAAACCAGGCTACGGTATGGCCTAATTACGTCTTTCTCTGTTATAAGTATGCAAACGAAAGGCCGTTTTTTTTTGCCGTTGGATTGCTTGTTGTAAGAGTACAAAACTATTTACTTTTTGTTTGTAATTGTAACAAAACAAAACAACAAAGGTAACGAACGTTACATACCCAGCGTGACTCACTTTTCCTACCACATGTGTAAAATGGCTACGTGTGAATCATATACGATTTTATAGGATATGATTGTCATATCATAAGCCAGCATATGGCCTTTTGTAGTGTTGACTTCTAAATGTAGTGTAGTACACTCCTTTTGTAAGAAGATGATTATGTATATAAGTATGGTGAGTGTGAATGATTGGGGTTTGTTTAGCAGGCGGGTACTGTTTGTGCTGTACTATGTGTCCGTCAAGCTTTGTATGATGAGCTTAGCTAACTTTTCAAGGTGTGAACTACCAACGCACGTCATTCTTTGCCGGAACTTTGGCAAACATTCCCCAAACGGGATACTTGAACCAAAACAAACTAATTATTCCAAAGGGAATGGGTGATCCGCACCTGTTTTGACAAAGAAGTAAGAAAAAGTTGCGGGGAAGTTCTGTGTTGAGTTTCGTCAAAGATCTTAGATGAAACCTTGTTCCTGCTGACGTACGTTGTATCCAGTGTAAATTTGGTGAGTAAACTTTGCCCACAACAGAGAGCAGAGTAACTCAAATACTAGAACTAGTATGTAATTAATGATTATTAATGACTAGAAATTTCTTGTCCAAACTAGCAATAGCAGACAGACAAACGCTGCATGTATTACTGAAGTATTATAATATAACGTGTGGTTAGAATCAATGTAGCAGCAGTTGTTTCGAATAGACCTTTTGTTGGCTGTTAACTTCCAGCAAAAACTGTAGTTTTCAGGTACAAAACAAAACCTCTAAACTTTAAGCATAAGTTTGGCAGAGTTCAAGACATTTTCTCTGTATAGAAAATTTATTTCAACTATTTGAAATTGTGCATTAATGTAGTTACCTGCAAGTATAACTCAATGAAAATGACATGTACATAATACGTACGTATACTTGAGTTATACACGCAACAATATGTACTACGTATTGTTGCGTGTGTCGAGACCATTTACGGTTTATCTGTATGATCTGTATCTGTGTATAGCCGGTATAACTGCCCACAGCATAACACACCAGGCTTATGGTGTGTGTAACATGTCTTCATCACTGAGTTGTACAGGACGTCTTGAAAACAAAATACGGAGAGGGGGGGATACTCCCTTTAATGTTATGAACTTGTTTTTGGTAGACAGACACTGCTGACGTAATAAATTGTTTCAATTCAGACAGGACATAGTGAAGATTGCTTGGAGTCAAAAGTGACAACGTGATAAGCATAAACATCCGCCGCCTTACCCCGTTTATGTGAGTGAACAGCAAACCTAACCCCATTCTGTCCCTCAGTCGCAGGTCCCGAGCGGTGACCCTGTAGAGGAGCTATGAGTGACCCGTCCTCCAGTCCGAGCACTCCCGGCCGTCACTCCAACATGGCGCACAAGTTTTCCAAGAAGCTCCCGAGCGTGGAGAGAGACTCGGAACCCAGCCCCACCCCCGCGGCCGCTCAGGATATACCTGAAAACGCCGCCAACATGGCGAACAGTCAGGCTGCCTCCACCGCCAAGAAGAAGAGTTGTTTTCAGATCACCAGCGTGAAGGGTCCCGGGAGCGAGGGGGAGTCCCTCGCGGACGGGTACGAGAGCGCGGACGAACTGGACGACACGTCGCGTACGGAAGACCTTTCGTCGGACATGTTGGATTCGTCCATGAAGACGTCGGATATGGAGGTAGACGGAGCGTCGTCCGGGTCAGAAGATACGCTGAACCAGTCAGATACTGAGAGCCAGACTGGGTCGGTCTATACCAATGGAGTGTCCCGTTTTAGGGTCGTCAAAATAGAACCAAGCGTGCCCACGAAACGGGGCAGGTGGGTTTGTACAGATTTCACGGACCAACAGTTGAATAAGGAAAACGTTGGGATCAAGGCAGACTTTTCCGACCTGAGAGTCAACGAGGATAAGGAGGGGGTGGCTCGGGAAGCTCCAGTGCGGCTAGTTCGGTACATTACATCCCCGGACAGGATCCTAACGCTGAAAACCCCATCGGGATGCCCTTGGAGAGCGTAATATCACAGGGGGGTATGATAGGGGGCCAGGGGATGTCTCAAGTCCAGCCGAACGTGTCCCAAATCCAACCCCCCATCCCCCAAGGACAGCCAAACGTTTCCACCCAACAGCCACAGTCGGTCGCCCCCAAGGGGAAGCCTGAGTTCACCAGCCAAAATAGCATTGAGGGTTTCTCTAAGGACGTCGCCGCCAGTCTTCAGCCAATTCCAAACTCGGCCAACCTTTCCACGGCCAGGACACTACCAGGGTCGTCACAGAGTGCTGCTATGGACACCGGGAAAGTCTACAATTACCAGGACAGATGGAACTACAGTGTAGCCGCCGGACAGGCAGACTTGTCCGCGAGCAACCCGGCCGCCATGTTATTGGCCGCGGCGATAGGGTCACCCAGATTAGAGAACCCGCTGGATCCCGGAGAGTTTCCCATTGGTCAGATGTCAACAGCGATACAGGCGGGGTCGGAAGGGGCGACAGATAACAGCGAAGAAGGGTGAGTACATTTTGTCTTACAATTCAACTCAGAGTGTGTTACACATGAAATTTTACATATAAGGTCAGTTACCTATTTGTTACACCTGTAGTGAGTGCTACTCATAAGAACTTTGACTTTGTGTCTTGCAACTTTATTCCAAACCTACAAGATCATATAGTTAAATTATTAGTTTAACTTTTCTGTAAGTATTATATATTATGTACAAGTAGTAAGAATTAGTGACATTTCAAAGCATTTTCCTGGTGTGAATTTAAAGGCTATTTTTAGAAACAGTATTTGTACAAAGGCTGATATCTGTCATGTTTTCCAAATCAATATCAAACTTTGTTCCCGGCAGTGATTGCATCACTTGTATTAAACCCTCTTTTAGTCTTTGTATCCTGTTTGGTACATATGTGTTCTTGTAGGATGCCATTTTGGGAACTACAGTCACATGTGCTTGGCTCCCTTAGCAGCTAAAAGGCTTTGACAAGTTTTGTTAGTCTCTGTTGCTAGACTTGGAGGAATTACAAACCCCAGACATTACACAGCTCTAAGCTCAGTTGTCGGTAACAGGGTACGTACTTACATGCAAACAGTGCTATATTTGTCTGACTGAGCTCCAAGCCTATATCCCACATGTAATATTTGCTGAACAATAGTTATCCAATTAGCTTGGGGGACCCTCTGTCTCAGATTTCCTGATCAGCAAAAAAGGCTTGCCAAATGTGGAAGTCTGGATAGTCATCATGACATCATAGTTCTAGCAGTGACAGCTGTTAGGGACATACCATGTTGTGTCAGTGTGAGGGGTGTGGATTTGGAGTTTTATGTCATACCTGGGCCACGATTACGTTTAATACGGGTGTTCCAGATCGTGTAATAACTAGCGGTACGGCCCGGGTTCTTAACGCGTACTGCCCGGGCTTAGAAATGTTCCACAGAACGGTTCGAACTGCGTTTCGCCCTAACCGCGTGCACCGCTTTCAAAAATTGGAATACAAAATTCGGACATTGGAATTGATGTTGTTGCATTTTTTGGGTTTAGGGACACCAAACTTTTGCTAATTTCGCATTGAAAGGCATGTTTTCTTGGGTGGGTATGATACGGTAGATGACATAAATTCTGCATTGGTGATACACATTCTACAAGACTGTACACATGGATCACATTGTTTCCTTGCAGCTCGACTGCTTTCAAAATACGAGTGCACTCTAACAGTTGTCTGGCCTACATTGAAGTGGCCCAACACAGGTGCTATAAAGCCAGATAAATTACTCCACTTGTTTGGTTTTTAGCACAAAGCAAGACAATAAAGTCACGTTGACTTTAGATTATCGTGATAGAAGTTTTTAGAAGGTCAAGGCAGTGATTAATATGCAAGATGTTTAAAAGCCTGTAATGATATAACCTACATTTGTATATAAATACATAGACTCTTATAGTTAAGTCAGCATTAAACATGCTAAAGCTACATATGTTAATATTTTGTCACAGTACAAACTTTGTGTAACCAAGCACCCAGGAGAAAGGTTCGTTTTGTCCCCTTCGTATCAAAAAAACGTTATCATCCTAAGATTGATATAAGCACAGCCCCTTGCCGCTCGTACTGCTACAAGATGAAAGGCCAACTGACACTGAGTACTGCAAAAGGCGGCATATATGAAACAAGGGTAAATATTGGCTAGTGGGTGAATGATTGGCCGGGCTTTAGTGGACATTATCGGGGCTTGGCGGATGTGTGAGAACTTCCCCCGTCTCACAGCTGCTCGAGTCAGGTCGTTCAGGGAATCAGTGACAGGTTACGTGAACTATGGCACGACTATATATATGTCAGTCAGTCTTTTCGTTAGACTATGACTTGCGCAAAACCAACAAACACATATTCAGGAAATGAGACAATTACATGCTGTAGTATTATTACTAACAGATGAATACAAAAGAAGTAGTAAATTAGTATGTGACAAATTGAAATGGACAGTTAGTTGCAGTTACTAATTAAGACAAGTTTAACTATACATATACATTTTTGTATAAAACTAATACTAATAGAGCTTTTCTATAGACAATTAGCTACGTTACCTTTTCTTTTACGTGTATTATTTAGCTTTGATATATTACTCTCTGTTCATGTATAAGCTATGAATGTGAAATGGAAGTTGTTATCACGCTTTTATTGCTCGTAATATTCACAATTACACACACCATTTAACCCTGAGCACACTTCACGTATTAAAGTCTAGGAAGCTATTATATATTATATCATAACATAAACGATTGATCACAGCCAAAGCTAATTCCGTGTACTACTCACACATATGCTGTAACCAAGTGTAACCTTGGCTTCTAGATCAAGTAACCAGAAAGGGTTCAAATTCAGATCTACTGGTAAAGGGAGTCTGTCCCTGGCCTTGTACTGTTTAACCAACGTAATGGGAACTCCAGACTGTCCCACATCCAGAGACACAGAAGTAAGACTTAGCTGCTGGAGGAAAACCTGTTTAGCGAGAGCTGCCTACAGAAATAGCTGACCCCCGGCCTCCCTTTGCTTCTAACCTATGATTAAAAGCATTCTTTGAGTCTGACTCTTTTGGCAGCACTTCTGCACCTGTCAAAGGAAGTGACAAGTGGCATGAATGTCCCTGTAAGGCCAGACATTATAGTATGTCTGGTAAAGCTTAATGTTGTTGACATTGACAAACCTTATCTGCTATATAGATGATACCATGCTCTCCCGATCAAGTTATAGTAAGGGTGCGATGGTATAGAATTTTAGTCTTTGCAAAGATTAAGCTTCACAATCCACGGACAAAAAAGATCCATAAACCACATTCATAATCATACATGGCAACTTTTGAACCCTTTAACCTTTAGCCTTTTACCTTTTAGAAGAAGATTTTATGCACCAGTCGTTATCAGGCAATCTTGTTTTATGACCCGTGAAAATCTGTGGTGAACAGAGAAATTTTTCACAGGTGAATAACGAGATAAGATCATGGGTTTGTTTCTTATGTTAATCGTCACGGGCCACTGACTAAGCAAGGCTCACCACAGCTACAGAAGAGATATTTTACTTGGAGAGTAATTAATTGATAACACATGATTGCTTAAAGTTGTTGCTAAGCTTATATCTTCTGGTAAAATCGTATCGACTTTACGGAGATTGTGCTCTTTAACCTGCTAATTCGTCAGAGAATTCAACCGTCGCCGTATTTGGGAAATGCTGCCCCCTGGCTGCATCCTGTTTGCTTGACGTGTTTCGCTGAATGACAAAGTGGTGGAGACACCTTGGGAAGGAGGTGTCCTTGGTCGTTTCTTCTCTGGTCAATTAGCGCAGATGTAATCTCCACTGTGAGGGGCTGGTCACGTTTTGGTACCAGTTGTTGGCATGAATGGCAGGCCTGTTTCAGTCCTTAACTGTAGGTGCTGGAGCCACAATGTGAATTATGTGGTTATGATAGACTAGATAATACCGAGATGATCATCCTTGATTGTGGTCAATTACATGTATGTTTAACCATCTCCTTGCTGCCTAATCCCATAACCAATACAAATCTGGTGCCAAATGGCTACCTTAGCAGACTAAAGGTTAAAAGATGTGAAATAGCATGTCTTCAATAGAAGACAATATAACATACAGAATGTTGTCATTGGAAAGAATTGACATCCCCCAAACTTATCGCTGCCCCAGATCATCTGTAGAAATGTGGCCAAGGCTCCTCAGCCAGATTTAATAAGTGGTTCTGTGTTATGGGTCAGTTCCTCTAGTGAAAAGGATGGATATATATAAATGCTGGTGCCTGTGGGCAGTGTATGGTAGGTTGTCTGTAGTAGTCTGTATCTGTACCTGAGATCTCCTTCAGTATGTAAGGAATGTATTTAGATGTAACTAACTAGCCTACATCCTATTTCAAGGGGTTACCTGGGCTTGACACATCCCTAGCTAGGAAGAAATGATGTGAGTCAAGTGACATCTACTTACTGATGTGCTATATGGAAGACATCTGGATCAACCTTCCCAAAGAGCAGTCATTCCTGTTTCTTGACAAAGTACTGTAAATGTGTAAACTTTCGCCGCGGTTTTATTTTTGCGTTGACCTCTCAATCGAAGACTTGTGATGTCACAAATTACGTCACTACTGTCTTACAGAATTGTTTCAGCCCTGATTTTAATACACAGTGAAAACCTCCATTTCCCTTCTTCAGCAAAATGTTATCACCGCAAAATTAAAACACATTATTTACGGTGTATTAAATGATCTTAGGTAAAGGAGAATCTACAAGCTCCCTGCTGGGAAACAAATTGCAAGTGCCACAGGTGTGTTGTGGGAGGCACACTCAGTTTTAATTATACTAGTTACGCTTTGAACGAACGTTTAAAAGTAGGCTTTGACGTCATGTTGCCCAATCAACTCAATCTCAAGCCCACGAGGTGCTGCCTTTGATAGAATGTAACCTGTCGTATGTTTCCTGTTGCAGTGCATAGCACCCGCACTTGGCACAACATCCTATGAGGTAGTTGTAAGGCATTCTGTTAGGCTTCGTCTCGCATACAAGTTTACATGCCTCCACTGATAAAGGGTTATCCTCTCTGGAGTATGGTAATCCCAGATCTAGTTGCCTTTCCAAATGTGGAGTATAAGATGCTCCGAGTGGTGACTTGTTACATAACTCTGGCTGCAAGTCAACATAACGCAGCCCAGTCCAGAAGTAAACATTTGGCATGGATGGTTAGACATGGGCACATCATCAGGTCAGAGATTCAGAAGGTTATGGAATATGAAAATCATGATATTCATACATGTGAAAATCTTCACGAGGCAACCAAACTTCAATCACGTGTTACTGTAAATCATAACTTTCACGGCGTTTTTATTTTTGCATTTTTCCTGATTTCATGACATGGTCAATGTGTCTTCCTTGTACTACTATAGAATTGTTTCAACTGTGAAAATCTTCCTTTCACTCCTATAGCAAAATAGATTAAACCAAGTTGCAAAATTTTTTACGATTTACA